GTCCCAATCACTTTTTATCTCTTCCATTTTCCTATTCTGCCTAGTTTGGAATACTTGGCCGATTCTTTATCTCCTACCTAGCATATCCAATTTGTCATTGTACAATTTCCTATACATTTTAGCTTATTCTTTTTCTTCATTTCTCACATTCTGATTTCCGTTTATTGTGTTTGCATACAGTTTTGAAAAGTTTCGAGAAGACACTTCTTATATTTCTGCAATGTTTTCATGTAAAATATACTGGGTTCTTTTTCTCCTACTATTCCCTTTGTGAAAAAGTTGCAAGTTTTCCTTGCCTGTAATTCTTCTTCCTTTCCCTCCCTTTAACCAGGCTTGAAGGATTTTGATATATGTGTCATTTTCTATAATTTAGGGACATTTCTCAATTTAAAAACATACAAGAAGTTGAGAATAATGCAGGAATTCTAAAACATGACCCCTCATTCTCACTTGCCCCCTCCATGTTCCTCTTGCCTCCCCCTTTCTTTAATAATATATCTGTTTTGTACACCTTTGTCCTCTGACTGCCAGAGATTATGATTCAGTCTGCTTAGGGTAGAATTCTGGGCTTTTGTCTTTTGAAAAAACTCCCTAGGGGAGTCTGATAGGCAGTGCTTATTAAGAAGGATGCTTTAATATTGGAATCAAAACACAATAAGCTTTCTCACTATAATGAATAACCCAATAGATTTAATTATGATTTTCTTTCTGTCCCAAACTAAGACTAGATGTTAATTGCCAGAGAAATAGATAAGGATGCCTATGACAACAGAAAATTAATATGCTATCAAAGCTTGAAAATTTCACTGGTGGTGATTAATTTAGTACTTAAAATATTTAAAAGCTATAGAATTAAAATTAATTCATTTTTCATTAAGTGAATAAAGTTGATTGAGGTTTTACATTTAATTTTGTGAATCAAATTTTATTTTCTTTGGGCTCAGAAGCTAACTGTAAAACACCATGTACAAATTTTTACTTCCTGTTTTGATCCATTATTTTGCTGTCTTATGCTTTATTACTGAAAACGCTCTTGAAGTAGATTACGCCCTGTAAATACTTCTGATTACAAACTCTTCTCACAGAAATGATGTAGACTATTAAATGAGCTCTTCTTTCACAAAATTAAAAAAATCTGAAGACCTCGATTTGGGACTTTATATAAATGAGATTTAGATCTAACAATTTAAAATTATTGCTTCATTCTTAGCAATTCAATTCTCTTATCTGGGAAATAGAAATAATAAAAACCTTTGTTGATTCTACGTTTGGGTTGGAAAAGTCACTCTATCCATCAATCAGCCTTGAAGTAGAAGGGCTGAAATAAAAAATACAAAGCAAAGGGCCTAAGATAAAAATTCTGAAGCAGCTTTAGTTTATAGCATTGGAAACCAGCAACAGGAATTCTTGGATTACTTAACACAGATTCAGAAGGCATTTGCTCTATCTTCATGCTACTCGGTATGTTGTTTCTGGACCCGCAGTATCAGCATCCCCATGAAGCTTGTTAGAAGTGGAGAGTTTTGGGTCCTCCAGAGACCTACTTAATGAGCATTAGCAGTTTAACAAGATCTCTAGGAGATTCTTGTACATTTTCAAGTTAAGATGCACTACTATAGCACACATCTAATAGGTGCTCCATGCATTTTTTTAAAGTATTACTAACAGGTGGGGGTATTAGACACCATTGGGAGTACAAATTAGAGTCATAATCTTTTTCCTCTAACTGCCTCCCTGACTTCTGTTTCAGGCAAAGCTTTCCCTAGTCATTCACGATTGCATGATCCAGCCGGTTTCCAATCCCTGCTGACTCTTAACCGTTCATGTTTCCTCTAGCCTTTCATTTCTGGGGCACCATCAAAACTCTACTCATAGCCCCGATACCTATCTCGCAGACTCCTGTCCTAGCTGTTTTACCTATGTCCCTGCCTTAACATTCGCCTAAACTCTGCTTCATAATTATCCAGAAACACAGCCCTAGCTCTGACCCTCCCTCCTGCAGTTCAATCGTAGGTTGTTTTCTGTTGCCTTCCCATGAATTGTAAACTCTTTAATAAAAAGCAATGTCCTCTCTGCCCAGACCCAATATACACTCAGGGCCATGCCTTTCCCTAAATTACCAGTCTTACACAATGACATACAGCCTGGATATATACTCCTGATCAGATCATGGAAATTGCACACCATACACCTTGCCTTCTGCCATCCCTTGTCCCTCCTGACCTTCCTAAAGCCTACCCATTCTTTTTTTTTTAAAGATTTTTATTGGGGAATTGGGGGGATGGGAACAGTGCTGGGGAATTGGGGGAAGGGGAACAGACAAGTTGCTGTCGTTTTGTTCTTCAATCTAGTTGTGGAGGATGTTGCTTCACTGGCCCAAGTTGGCACCATCATTGCGCTCTTCTCTGGTGAGGCAGATCAGTCGCTGGCTTCTGGACAGCCACTCACTGCGGCTGCTGGCCGCTCACGCTGGCTGCTGGCTACATACGGTAGCCCATGGCAACCCACTGCCACAGGGAGTGCAGCCTACGCCGTCGCCGGGGACTCATGGCAGCCCAGCTCCAGGTTGAGCTGTCGTTCAGCATCTTAGCTGTGGAGGGCAGTGTCACTGGCCCTCATATGTGGGATCCGAACCGGGGCCCTCTGACATCCCAAGCGAGTTCTTAACCATTGCGCCACTCGGCCGGCCCAAGCCTACCCATTCTTTAAATTCCAAATCCCCCCCCCAGAGACCTCACCTGTTCCTGGTTCCATGGAGAGCACCTGTCTTCTGATGTCATACATATTGAACACCTAGCTTTCTCTATCCTACTGTATATAGGTAGTATAACAAATTCACCTTGGTGACTCTGTTTAATCTCTCCAACTAGATTCCACACTGCCTAAAACCTAGACAACTGTACTTATTTCTTTCAATCTCTAGGATGCCCAATGCTCAGTATTCATACTAGTGATACCGTGCTGATAATGAGGCCGGATTCCTCCCTCCTGCCTCTTTGTCTCCTCCCCCACTTCCTTTATGTATTGATTCAAGCATTCACTCAACAGATACTCATTGAAACCTCTCTTGAACCAGATATTGTACTCAGCATCACTCCTATTCACTCATGAATAGGTCACAATCTCTGGCCTTGAGTAATTGATAGCATAATAGGAATATAGACGCAGTTTGTTATGAATGGGGATACCTATTACTAAAAATGACTGTCACATGCAACAGTGATCTGAACCGGTGATAAACAATGACAGTAAATAATGGAGCAAAGTCAACTAGTTGCAAGGAAATAGCACATGTTTACTAGAGCATATCTCATGCACATTTAAGAGAGTATGGTCAGGCAAGCTTATGAGTAGTTCAATAGCTGTGCATAGTTTCTTATTCATTGTGAAGTATTGTGTCCCTGGAATAGTGGCTTGTTACCATTTTTTTTTTTTGCTGATATATTGAGTCGTTTAACTTCTCAAGTTATATGACCAAAAGTTCATTGAAGACATTACACAATAGCAGTAAAAAAAAATACCATGAAGTTTACATGGAATGAGGGTTTAGAGGACACTTGACCCTGTCTCAAAAGACATGCATTCATTCATTTGGCAAGCATGTTCTGAAGTTTGCTTTGTACTTGGCGTTGGGTCAAGGGACTGGGAAATATAAGAATATTAGATAATTAGAATCAGGTCTGTCTGGAAAATGTTCTACATACTGACTTTATCCCATTAGTATAAAAAGATATGTGAGCCCTTTAGATTTAAATATGGTAGGTATCTCAAGTGCTCATGGTACTTCGTTTTCTAAACTTTAGATTTAGCACTGGGTTATTTTAATTGCCTTAGAAATTCTAGATTCACTTTTTTAAAAAAATGGTAGAGTGTCATTTTTATTTAATGGTAAAAAGCATTTTTGTTTTTATGCATATTTGGTTGTAATAGTCTCTTTTTTAATGGAACAAATTTTTTTTCTGACATTATTCTCTTAAAATTTAATTCAGGGTAAAATGTAGAAGGTACTTAAGTTTCACACCATCAATGACTCATAAAAATGTTCTGGTGGCTATAGATCATTTTTAAATTTATTGCTGTACCCTAAGGATTTCTTGATAGGCTGCCCCTGAAAGCAATTATTGCTTGGTTTTATCATGCAAAATGCATTGATGGAAACAGAGTTTGAAATAAATTTCTTCTTTTTATTAAAATTTATTGGGGTGACAATGGTTAGTAAAATTACATAGGTTGCAAGTGTATAATTCTATAATGGATCTTGAGATTATTATGCTAAGCAAAATAAGTCAGACAGAAAAAGTCGAGAACCATATGATTTCACTGATATGTGGGAAATAAAATTGAAAGCAACAAAGGACCAAGACAAATAAATAAAGAAACAAAAAAAGCATAGACACAGACAATAGTTTAGTGCTTACCAGAGGGTAAGGAGGCATGGGTGTGGTAGATGAGGAAATAAATTTCATTCTAATATAGTAATGAATTTTTGTTTAAGTATCTCTAGAGGTTTTTTCTTTCTTTCTTTCTTTCTTTCTTTCTTTCTTTCTTAATGGCTAAACTATATGTGTTCTTTTTCACCTCTCATACTGACAGTCACTAAGGAATCCAAATACTTTTTCACATTTAAATTTTATAACACTTCATAGACTATTAAACACGGAACATCCTTGTGGGGACAAGAAATCGAATTTGCTCTTGAAAAGGTTTCCAACTAATTGATTTGTAGGACATTATAACATCCTCTAGCTGACAAGCTTTACAAATATAAAAACTGGAGCTGCACTGAGAGAGGACGCTTTTTTTACTGACACATAAAAGGTATCTTCTGTCTTGTATCCTTTGGATACAGGCATGTCGATTTCATAGAGAAACTTTCCCATGGAGCTTTTTGATTTTTTTCTCTCCCAGCAGAACTGCATGTGGTAGCACATTATTGAATCTTTTCTCAAATAAAAGGACATGGGGCTTCATTTCTGTTTTGCCTTTTTGGTGTCTTATAGGAACTCCAGGATGGCATTGGGCAGCGGCAAATTGTCGTCAGAGTATTGAATGCAACTGGAGAAGAGATCATTCAACAGTCCTCAAAAACAGATGCCAGTATTCTACAAGAAAAATTGGGAAGCCTGAATCTGCGGTGGCAGGAGGTCTGCAAACAGCTGGCAGAAAGGAAAAAGAGGTAGGGTGACAGATAAAATAGAGATTCTCAAATTTAGCAGAGCTATTTAAGCTGTCCTTAAAAAAAGATTTTGTGAAAGATTGCAACCAGGCTGAAAAGCACGAACGTTAAGGAGCCCATCAACAGTTAATCAATAGCAATAATGAATTTTGTATGTATTCCTCATACACTGAAATCTGTAGCTGTTGCCACTTAAGTAGACAGTGCTTTTCTGCTATTTTACACTTTCACGTTTGTTTTAAAAATCACATGATTGTTTCAATATGAATGTCTTCAGGATAGTCCAACTTGAACAAGCTGAGCTTCAATGAATTTTTAAAAGAAGATGAGAAAAAGAAATTCCAAAGGATTATTTTGTAGGAAAGACTGCTCTTTGGCTAGATTTTTGTAACACCTTCACATGTGACTATGGTGCTGAAAAACATGATAGTAATATTTACCTTAAAGCTCCACTGCATTTGTTAGTACATTCTTGAACCAGGGCTTGGGCCAAAAGTGTTCAAATCTAAAGGGGAAAACAAAATCTCCGAAAGGTTATTGTTGAATTCAATCATCATTTAACTTTGTCTTGGAATGCATTGAAAGCACAGAAAGCCAAGTGTATTATGCTTCAGTTGGAAGGCATAGATATTTTTATAAATGGGAGTTTTATATTATGCTTCCAGTTGTTGGTGCTAATGTTTCCTGTTTCATAAGGGAGGACTTGGCCTTTATTTACCAAATGAGACTGTTGTTGTGAACAATGAAAACTCCGTTCTCCTGCCAAGCTCTTGCTTCTTACCTGTCATCTACATAATAAGTGGATTTTAATATTCAGAAAGCTAAACCAACTCAGTGATGAGCCTCTTTGGTGGGGAGGCATTAGACAGGTTTTGCAATTATGCCCATTGTCTTTCCCCACCTCCTCTTACTGCCTTGGCTCATATTGCATTATTCAGAAGGGAGATAGACTTCATAGTCCACAATGGACACATAAGTTGACCTCCGCACATACACACACACACACGCACACACACAGAGACACAGACACACACACAGACGCGCACACAGACACACACACACACACACACAGAGGCACACACACACACACAGACACACACACACAGACACACACACACACACACCTTGCTAGTTACAAAAAAAAATACCATCATCTAAAAAACATTTGTATTTTATATCTTGGTTCAGAAAATATTATAATTTATATATACAGAGGGTGCCAAAAATATATATGCACATTTTAAGATTACAGCTCTTGAAATGTGTATGCAGTTTTGGGGCACCCCGGTAGATAATGCAATATAAAGACCCAAACTTTGTAGTTAAACTGCTTCCTTGGGAAAGTTATATACTTTTTCCCAAGTTAAAATCCTTCTATTAAACACACAACTATCCCATTATTTAAATAACTGATGTGTTTACACTCTGACCAGGTTTAAACCTGTATAAAGTCATTTCTGAACTAGACACAAATCTAGTCTAAAATAAGATGTTAAGAAACAAGAAGGTTAAGAAGAATTGAATAACATGCTGTAAAAAATATCTTGAACTCATAAAGTGGATTGAATTGATTGGAGGATTATCTTTATTATATATAAAGTATTGTTTCTCACTTTTAAATACTTGTATGGTATTTAAATAGAGTATATTAATATTTTATCTGATAATCCTTTTGCACCTGAATTTTTAAAATCTTATCTGTTATTGATATCTGAATGCAAATTAGAACTGATAAATGAAGATAGAGTAATATGCCTGTTTCACCAGATAAGCTCTAAAATTTTAGATCCTTGTGAGTTTATAAGGAAGTGTATACCACTGACTCTGTTGTGAAATATTACACAAATTGTAGGTTAATTACAGCTAGGGATTTGGCTGTAATTGGTTAGAAAAAATTTACCCATTTAAACATTTTGACCTACATCAAGTATTATACTTTTGTGCTTTAAAAAGTCAAAATCAACTTCCTTGAGGTTTTTTAGTTGTATTGTTTTTAACTCAGCTTTGAAAGTTGTCAACTTCACACTACATTTTTAAAATAAATGTTAGCATATTTAAATTTCCACCAAGATCAGTTTTGTGGCACACTTCCTCAGGATTTTTATATCATTTGAACTTTATGAAATCTAAAAAAGTAATAAAATACACTCACAGCTATTTCGAAGCACCCAGTAGCAAATAAAGTAAAAATAAATAAAATAATATTTATAAACAATATGTTAATATCACAATTGTGAGAGGGCTGTAATCATGAAAGTATTATTAATCAATAGCATGTTTTCAGTGCAACCCAAGCAGAAGTTAGAAGGAAATGAAAGTTACTTGTACAGGTGAAAAATAAGATGACTATTCGAATCTACAAGAGTATTCTTAGTTGGCAGTGTGCTTGAAATAGAGCTGCTGGAAGTATTTAATGTTTCTTAGTCCACATGCACATATGAAAGTGTATAATTTAAGCAAAGAAGTCTACAAAAACTATTTGTGGGTTTTTCGTTATATAATTTTAAAGCCTTCTCTTTAAAAAGGCAAGATATCAGAAATATGAGAAGAAAGTCCTCAGAAAAATTCAAATAGCAGTGGACATCCATTAAGGCTAGTCTATGTTGGAAGTAAATGAAGTATAAAATATAGTCAATTAGCTGTGCAATTTAAGATAGAAAATTCAGTTTCCTCAATTATGTTGCAGTGGAGCTGGATAACATCTATAGGTTTAAGCCTGATAGTAATACATTTAATGATGGTTTAGCCACCAAAATAATCTTTATAAATAAAGAAGATGCAAATGAAAACCTGTGGGCCATACGTTAAAACGGGTCGGCAAACTGCGGCTCGCAAGCCACATGCGGCTCTTTGGGTATGTACCGTCTCAAAAGTTTGCTGACCCTTGGAAGAGCCAATCCTGTCCCTCTCAACAATTTAAAATTTGTTCAAGAGTCATAAATATATTTTTACATAATCACCATGGGAATAATATCCTTTAAAAGTTTTATAAATGAAACTATGATAGTTTTATTCTCATTTTCAATTTTGCTTCAGAGCCACATGTACGTACCCAAAAAGCTGCATGTGGCTCGCGAGCCGCAGTTTGCTGATGCCTTGCAGCTCTTCATCGCAAAAGTTTGCCGACCCCTGGGTTAAAACAAAGCAGGCCAGTATCTGACGATTTTTAAGCACAGGCCCATTGACAGAATTCACAGGGTACCATGAGCTTTCATAGGAATAAAACTCTTTGTTCAGCATCCCCTTGCATTTTGAATATTAGCAACAAGCCAGAGGAATACTAGCCGCACTGAAATCACAGATGTTTTCATATCTAATTAGAGTCTGTATAACTATCTCAAAATATTGCCCATGCTTATCACTACTTTAAAACTGCGGTAGTTATTAAATATGCCACAAGATCTTATTAATGTGTTAATAATAAACAAGCACATGTATTACTATATCACAGTGCTTTTTTCTGGAGCATTCCAGCAGATATACCAGTCAAGAGAATGTGGGTAGTCAGGCCTGCGAGCAATGGATTGCCGACCAAATAGGAAAGGGGGTTTGACTTAGAATAATGTCCGTTGATAAAAGATTGAATGGAAGAGGAAAACAAGGTGATAAGAACTGGAATCCCTAAATTGCAGAATCTCTGAATCATAACCTATAGCAATACAAAATGTTCTCAAGAGATGATCTCTCCTTTTCCCTTTAGACAAATGTGATATTGCTTTCCCTATGTCACAGATGTGGCAATTATTATGCTAGCGTATATTGAGGAATAACAGTTTTAAATGTCACCTGATTGAAAATATTGCTGGAAATGTTTCCCAACATTTTTAGTGAAAAAGTCCAAGCATATAGAAAAGTTGAAAAAAGTAACATAATGAATACCCATATACCGTCCTGCCCTCCAAATTTCCTAGATTCAACAATTAAGATTTTACCATATATGCTTTTTCTTCCCTACCTCCTTCATATCTGCCTTTCTGTAATATAGGAAATAATACACACACACACTTTTTTTATTGTTTTAACCTTTGCAAGTAAGTTATAAACACCCTTACACATCACCTCTAAATACTTCAGTATGCATCTTCTAAGAATAGCAGCATGTCATATATAACAAAGCTTATTTATCATGCTCAAGAAAATTAAAAATAATACCATATTATTACTTAATACCCTGCCCATATCCAAATTTCCCCAGTGGTTCAAAAATGTCATCTATCTATCTATCTATCTATCTATCTATCTATCTATCTATGTAGATAGATGTATTTGGAGCTTTGTTTGGTACCAGTACCCCATCATGTCTCATGCATTGCATTTGGTTTTGTAGCAGAGAAAAAAATTTTTTCCTCTATCCTCCTTCTTAGGTTTAGTTTTAGAGGCTGCAAGTTTAACTGACAAAAGCGACATTAATAGAAGAAAAGGCATATGCTTTTCATGTGATGTTAATATTTTTGTGTGGCATGAGGGACTTCATGGAATACAAGTGAAAACCCTGAAAAGTGGTAGACCTAAGAGCTTATATACCATTTTAACAAACAGTGCTACATTGCAGGGACTCAACAAGACAAAGGAAATGAGATTTGGGCTTCTAGGGGTGCTATATTGTGGGAAGGTAAGTACCATATATGGGGAAACTAATGGAATACAAGGGCTATTTCAGTAAGGTTTCTTTATGCAGATTTAGTGCTATCTTCACTGATAAAAGTGGTCTCCTATTCCTGGTACACGAAAGGGGAGGGGGTGACCCTCACAAAGGGAAATTTATACCCTCCCTTGAGGCAGAAACAGGAAATAGTAGACAGCTGTTCCTATGTCTGCTGTTTCTCAGTTGCCTTCAGCTCAAAATAATCCTTATGCTGAAGTGGCATATTTTGGGGTAGCATTTTCTGATTCCCCTTCAGTTATTGGGTTGTTGGAAAAGTCATGACGTATTTCTTCTGTGTTTTTCATTGCAAAAATGCCTCATGACTTTACTGACAACCCAATATTATGTTTCTTCG